TAAAGGCTATGCATGTACAATAGCTCTTGACATTGCCTTCATTAGTTTAAACACCAAAGTGTCTACTAAGTCACAAACACAAACAGGTAGGAACTGGAGATACCGAGACTTATAAAATATGATACATGCCTGAAAAAGAAAAGAGGGTCACTGCAAGTCAGTTTAATAAAATATTCAAAAGCCAAAGTCAGAACAGGTAATGTGCACCCTGGCAACAATAAGTTTAGTATAAGTAGACTGTAGGGTTTATGGTGTGCAGTGTAGGGTGTGCAATGTAGACTGTAGGGTTTATGGTGTGCAATGTAGAACCTTGGGATTAACATTATACACACTTTAGATTTCAGGTATTGGTAAGCAGATTTTAAAAATTTCATTTTGGTGATTAGGTCCCAGTTTAGTGGTAAGTTTATAGTTAGAAGATCATGCTGATGAACTAGGATGAGGCCAAACTGCAAAATGCAAACAATTGAAATTTATCTTTTAGGTCAGTGATTCTAAGGCTGTACATCAGAATCACTTACAGGAACATCAGAGAAGGGGGAGGAAAAAAAAGATGATGGGTACTCCATCCCTTGACCAATTAAATCAGAATTTCTGGGAAACATGCATTTGAATATTTTAAAAGCTCTCCAGGTCATTCTAATGTACACCAAAGGTCGTGACCACTAAAATGGCAAAGGGAAGACAAGAAGATCATTAAGTAGAGAAGTGATATGATGAAATATGTTTTTAGGAAAATAACTGGCAGCAACACAGAATATGAATAGAAGGGAAGCAGGCTAGTAGTAGGAAGGTAAAAATGACACTGAGCTAGTGTAGCAGCAAATACATAGAGAAACATTACAGTCAGTTTGCTGTCAGAATAGAAAAAGATGATGGTAATCTAGAGTAATGGAAAATCAAGAATAACTTAGATTTCAACCTGTCGAAGCTTTGGAAATAAACAATTGAGTTTAGAAGACAATCAGTTTTAAATATGTTTAAAGACAGTTAAGGAAAACTGAAGAGTGAAATAAAAATCTGGACCCACGAATGTATGATATCACTAAGGAGTACACGCAGAGGAGTATTTGTAGAAGAAATCACCAATGTTCATTATCTGGAGTGCTTGTTAATACTGTAGATTCACAGGGCAAAGTCAAGACATAAAGAATAAGTCATTTAAGCCTCTGAAAATTTTGAGAACCACTGGAGACAAAAGAACAACACAGAACCAGGATGGAATCTGGGTGAGCTCAAACATCCTGTGTTCTAAATGGTAGCCACTGAGTCAGAATTTTACGAATATCTGAGGTTGAAGTTCTTGATTGTTTCAAGACACAATCCACAGTAAACACTGAAGTTAGCCATTTTGGCTACACTTACGCTGTGAAATCTGCAGCTGCTGTAGCTGCTTTGGTGGCATCCTTATTCAATGTTGCACCCCAAACAGCACCTTTATGACCCAAAAATGTTCCAATCCAGTCTCCTGTATCTCCCTGGCGTAGCATAGGTTTACCATCTAGAAAACGTTTTTAAAAACATGTTATTTATATGTTCCGATTACTTAAAATCTAAGATTCAAACATAAAATGATTATATTGAATGACAAAGTGAATAATTACGGCGTCTAACTATTCCCGCTCACTAGGGTCACTAAGGAATATCCCGAAATAAATTAACTAAAAAGCGGAACTGGTCATTCTCTCTAAAACATACCTGTGGTTCAGTAGCAATACTCATCTGCGTCAAAATAATGTAGCTTTGAGTCTTATTATTGACAAACTTTTTAACCTAAATCTCGGTTTCCCATTTGAAACACGGGGCTAGCACCACAAAGGAATATCCACTGACATTAAGAGATAACGTCTTCGTAAAGGTATTGTTCGGCCTGGCATAATTTCTCCTTTCCCCAAAGATACTTTACAGTGCTTGTTGCCTGGAACGTACGTGCAAGTACAGTCCAGTTTCCCCAGAAATAGCAATACAAATAAAATGAGGAGTGGCCTCAGTTAGGAGTACCACTTAGCCTCCTCACGGGAGTCGGGAGGCCTCTCCGCTCCAGCTGCGGATTCCCTAACACTACTCCTTTCCCCACCAGACCAGTGTCGGCCTTCACCTCAAAGGGTAAGATCCCCGCCACCCCTTCGGCTCTGGGGAGTACGGGTCTCAATGCCTTTCGGCCCAATCCTAGCGGTCGAGGACCCGGCCCAGCGGCCTGGCTCACCTTTGCAAGCGCTGATTAAAAAATACCCATAAGGCGTGATGCCACTGAAGGCCAAATCAACCACGGGCCGCGTGTGGCCCGAGCAAGTGAGCGGCGTCTGCCTCATTGCCATGGCGGCGAACCCTGCGACTGCGCTGGTGAGCTGAGGGTCGTCGTCGTCTTTTCTCTCCTCAGATACAGCGCCTCAGGCTCCTCAAAGCCCCCGCCCTGACACTGGGGCTGGGCTGGGAAAACAGGAAAAGGAGGCCAATCCGGTGGCACCGAGGTCAGGAGGGGGTTAGGGAGGGGTCAGGGAGTCTGCGACAGGCGAGCGACAGTGGCCGAGAGAGGGTAAGGGAGGGAGGGAGGGAGGAGAGTAGGGGAGGGGGAGAACCGGAGAACCGGCCCAACCACGATCCACACCGTCCACACCGGTATCGGCAGGAAGTGACGATGCAAACAACGCAGAGCGTCTGCCGGAAGTGACGATTGATGGGAGGGCGGGTTCGCCCGGCACAAGAGACTTAATGAAGAAGGACAGGAACGCGCAGGCGCGAGTTCGCCGCTCGTTGGGCACGTGGCGTGGGCCCGGACGGCGGCGTACGGCGCCTGGAGGCGCTATGCGCTATGGGGGCGTGTCCCTCGCGCTGAACTCTAACCGGTCTGAAAGCCATTGCTCTTCGGCAGAGTTCGCGGTGATCAAAAGGTCTTCCCACTGCTTTAAGCCCTTGGAACGCTATAGCGGCCGCTGTGCGTCACTGGCTGAGCACGCCAACCGTGCTCGGCATCCGAACATCTTAGAAACCGGAGCCATTCCCACTGGCAGCCCAAACCAGCAAACATTGCCCCTGACAACCTTTTTGTATTTTTTTTTTTTTTATTAAAAGCTATACAGGCAGCTTCTCTGGGGTTGTGTACAAGTAAGACCCTTAAGGAAAGTAATTTCCCCAGCAATCCCTTCTACTGGGTAACTTTCCTGTATATTGCTGGTGTTTTAGGCATGCGTGCTATGGGGTTTTAAGTGGAATTAACTTCAAGTTACTTTCTCCTTGGAGCACTTCAGAGGACTCTAGAATAGTACACTCCACATTTTTTTTTTAATGAAATACTCGACTCAATGAAGTCGGAGCCCACATTCCCAATATGTGGATAATAATTTGCAAATTACATACATGTACATTATAATATAGACAAAGAAGTATCAAAAGAATCTAAAAACTGAATATAAATAGAGGCTCTGGTATGTCTTCCTACAGGCAGCCCACTGCAGCAGATGGTACTTTGATGAAACAACCAGAACCATTCATTTGATTGTTCATACAGAAGTTTTCCTAAGGAGGAAAGGCTCTTTCACTGGGCAAGTCGTTTCTTTTAATGTTAGAGTGTGAGTCCAAAACAGCAGAGATTTTTGTGTTTTGGTCTCTATCCCCGGGGCAGAATGTCTTAGTATATACCAATAAATATTTAATTAACACAAATGTCTGTGAATGTTTCTTTAAGCTTTTTGCAGCAAACCTCGTTCTTTTAAGATTCAAGTCAAATGACTTGAATGGGAATTTGAAATGTGTCTCCATTCTTTTTCCTTAGCACTTGTTCATTCAATTATAGTATAGCCCTTACTGTGGATATGGTTTTCATTTTCTTGTGTTCTACTTTGAGCCAACCTCACCCCATCATCTGTCTTTCTCTCTCTCTCTCTCTCTCTCTCTCACACACACACACACACACACACACACACACACACACAGACCACTCACACTTGAGGTCCTTAATGGCAATGGTTATGGCTTTGTCATTTGTACTCTAGTGCCAGAAAAGTGAATGGTATTTAGTGAATTCTCAGCAAATAACTATTTACTGATTAAATAGATTGCTGCATTACTGATGGAGATAAATAACTAAGAGATATACTCAAGTTAAAACAACACAGTGGGTCAATTAAATATTAATATATGTTCATTTACTGTTCATTGTATGTAACAATGAGCAATAACTATGGTACCTACTTTGGCTCTAAAGAATGTATTGATTTCTGCTCAGTTGGATTCTGAGTTCTAGGAGTATGATGTATTAACATCACGGCCAATTGTGTGGGCTTCGAAGTCGGTTTAATATTAGAAGACAGATGAATGCAATTGTAATTAATATTAAAAGACTAAAGGAGAAACTCATATTAAAAGATGTGTAAAAACTTTTTGGTAGAATTCAGCATTCATTTATAAGAACTCTTAGATACTGGATGTAGAAGGGAATTTTTTTTAACCTGATAGACTATCTGAAAGAAACACCACACCTAGTAGACAAACACCAAAAGCATTCCCTATTAGGCTGGGTATAAGACAAGGATAATTGCTATTACCACTTCAATAAATCTAACAAAGTATGTTTCTCAGCAGGAAAAAACTGGCACACCATACATAATGTAGAAATTAAGGGCATTTTAATGAAGGGGTCATTGACTAAAATGTAGTCAGGATCAAAAGCAGAACAAGGAATAGTGAAGAACTCCAAGGAAAGATGGGGTAATAACCATAGATCCAAATGAGCAACTGAAAGGGAGCAGTATCTGACCCTGAATTCATGGAGGGCAGGAAGAGGGCACTGAATAAGAGCTGCAGAGTCAGTAGAGGAACACAACTGCTACCAACCATCATCAGCCCAGCAGTGAGGAAGTAGAGGAATGAAGATCTACTTAGATCTCCTGCCCATGCTTCCCATTGCTCAAACCTAGCCAGAGAGCAGAAGGCAAAAGAGCCCGTTGATGGAGTCCATCAATATTAACCTTCTAGGACATGAACCATGGTGCAGAAGGGAGGAAGTGGGGTATGATTAAATAAATGAAGGAATATTTAACATAATGTTCAACACCTCTATGGAGAAGGATAAATTGTATTAAAAGACATTAAATGATATAAAAATCAATGGAAAATGGATGTAATTGTGTTCATGAGTTTGGAAGATTCAACATTGGAAAAATATCAGTGCTCTCTTGTTACGGGCTGAATTGTGTCCCCCACCTCCAAATTTATATATTGAAGTCATAACCCCAATACCTCAGAATGTGACTGTATCTGGAGATAGAGCCTTTAAAGAGACAAGATAAAATGAAGTCATGAGAGTGGGCCCTAATCCAATCTGACAGTTGTCCTTACGAGAAGAGATTAGGACATGGACAGACAACGCAAACCAAGGAATGACCAGGTAAGGACACAGTGAAAAGGTGGCTATCAGCAAGCCAAGGATAGAGGCCTCAGAAGAAACCAAACCTGTCGATACTTTGATCTTGGACTTCTAGCCTCTAGAACTGTGAGAAAATAAATTTCTGTTATTTAAGCCACCAAGTCCATGGTATTTTGTTATGGCAGACCCAGAAAATGTTTACATCCCTAAATCGATTTATAGATTCAATACAATTCCAAATGAAAGTTCCAATTGTTTTTGTTTTTGTTTGGGTTTTTTTTTTAATCAAGTGTTTTTATTTTTTGTTTCTTTTTGTTGTTGTTGGAGACAGTGTCTCGCTCTGTTGCCCCGGGTAGAATGTCGTGGCATGGCACCATGGTTGCTTACTGCAACTTCCAACTCCTGGGCTGAAACCATTCTCCTGCCTCAGCTTCCTGGGTAGCTGGGACTACAGATATGCTCTACCATACCTGGCTAATTTTTTTCTATTTTTGGTAGAGGCGGAGTCTTGCTCTTGCTCAGGCTGGTCTGGAACTCCTGAGCTCAAGCAATCCTCCCACCTTGGCCTCCCAGAGTGCTAGGATTACAGGTGTGAGCCACCATACCTGGCCCTATCAATTGTTTTTAAAAAGAACTTTTCATGCTGATGTTAATAGTTAAGAAAACCAAAAGGCCAAGAATAGCTAAGATACTCCAGAAGAAGAAAAACGGGGAGAGGACTTCTCTAACTAGATATCAAGCATATTTTAGACATTTTAGACATATTTTAGACATTTTATAACGTTATAATAGACATTTTGGGGATAAGCAAATAGAAAAAAGATACAGAGTAAATAGTCCATATATAGAGAAATCTAATTAATGATAAAGTGCTGTGGATCAATAAGGAAAGAATAATTTCAATCTATAGTGCTGGGCAAAAATGGTTATCCATTTGAAAACAGGTGAAATTGGATGCCTACGTCAAACTATACCCACTAGATGAAATATGAAATATTTCATAATTTGAAAGTCAAAAGTGTAAAGTATGTAGAAGATAATGAAGGAGAATGCCTTTATGACCTTCAAATAAAGAAATATTTTATTAACTAAGGCTCAAAGTGTGCAAACCATAGGTGATAAGTTTACAGCAAAGTTTAAAAATCCATTGCAAAATAGCATAAAGAGTTGAAATGGCAAGTCAGAGCAGGACAAAATATTTAAAACACATATGACTGACAATAAACTAGTATAACAGTATACGAAGAACTTCTACAAATCATTGAGAAGACAACAACTCAATAGAAAAACGGGGGAGCCGGGCGCGGTGGCTCACGCCTGTAATCCTAGCACTCTGGGAGGCCGAGGCGGGTGGATCGCTCAAGGTCAGGAGTTTGAGACCAGCCTGACCAAGAGCGAGACCCTGTCTCTACTAAAAAATAGAAAGAAATGATCTGGACAACTAAAAATATATAGAGAGAAAAAGTTAGCCGGGCATGGTGGCACATGCCTGTAGTCCAGCTACTCGGGAGGCTGAGGCAGGAGGATCACCTGAGCCCAGGAGTTTGAGGTTGCTGTGAGCTAGGCTGACGCCACGGCACTCTCTCGAGCCAGGGCAACAGAGTAAGACTCTGTCTCAAAAAAAAAAAAAAAAAAAAAACGGGGGAGATGCTCAAACTCAACAGTAATCAGACAATGCAAATTAAAACCCCCATGAAATGTCGTTTCACATTTACCATCAGCAGAGATTTAAAAGTCACACAATTCTTAGTGATGGCAAGAATGTGAAGCAAGGATGTAGTAAGACTGTAAATTGTTAATAACAACTGTTTCAGAAAATAGTTTTGGCAATGCCAGTAATGTTGAATATGTACATATCCCATGACACATCAATTTCACTTTTGGATATATAACCTATAGAAATCTTTCCACATGATTTAAGGAGACATGTAAAAGAATATTCATGGCAGGATTGTTGGAATAGCCAAAAATTAGAAGAACACAAATATCCATCCATAATAGAATAGAATAGAAACTATGGTATATCCATACAATGGAATATTATACAGAAGTAAAAATGTAACAACATGGTTGAATCCCAGAACCATGATCTGAACAATACATACAGATAATTTAATTTCTAGAAGGTTAAAAACCTGTGTGAAACAAACCATATATTGTCAATAGATACAAACAAATGAGGCAAAACTATAAAGAAAAGCAAAGACTAACAAAAAGGGTTGAAGATTAAGGGGCAGGGAATGGAATAGCCACATGGAGCTTCAAACTTCATATTAACTTTTTTTCTAAAAATGGATGGTGGATACTC